GTTCAAATATAGAGCAAGCTGCCAAAGTCAGCAATGGAAGGACATAATTGTGTAAATCACTTCAAGAGAGAGTGCGGGTACATTTTTGAAAAATGAGGGAATCACTGGGTATAGCTATTAGTGAGGCTTGTGGAATTAAAACTATGAAATGCAAGCTGATTTCTGTTTTGAAGGAATACAGGAGCAAACTCTGCTGCCCTCCATGCTTCTCACTTATTTCTGTAGCACCCTGCAAATTTCAAACAGTAGCCTATACAAATCAGCATTATGTTAACCTGCAGATAGTTATTAATATAAAAGTCTTCTTAAATGAACTTTCTAGAATAGCCCTGGGGAGTACTGCAAAAGGATGAATCCCTGCCATCTGATGGCCATATTTACCATAGTACAGTTAAGGACCTCCGTAAACATTTCTGAAAGAGCAGTGTGGCTTACATGTAATTTAACTGAGACACCAGTGTCCTTAATTGTAGTGTTCCTCCCCTGACTTCTCTATTGAATCCAACTCTTTATATCAATTTAAGGTTTTTATAGAGCAGTAATCATTGCACCTTGATAGAGGACCATACCACCAATCCCATTTTGGGAATGGTAAGGTTTGACCAAGCCCAAGCCTGTTGGAAAAAAAGAATGAGATTCATATAAATAAAAACTGTGTCGTGATGCTTAATGGATCTGAATTCAGACTGTTCAGAGAACCTGAATTCCGTGTTCTGCAATCCCCCAAGGACTTGACTTTGAAACAGCCACATTCTCTTAGTGTAGTATTCTGGATCTAACACCTATAAACACCACATGGAAATTGAAGTACTCAATCCAACTGTATTTTACAAATTTTGTTACATTTTTTGTAACTGTTTAAAATACAAATAAATCCCGTAGTAAGTTTCCTTTTGAGTGGCCTATTGAAAGACTAAATTATCTGAGTTCAGTTATTACAATGACCAAGACACTGAAGGTAGCCCAGCTCCATTTTCAAGTGGGATCGATCTGCAAAAGGATTGTTAAGACACTCAGGCTATTCCAAAGGAAATTTTCCAACTACATAGGCTGTAACTGTCCAGAGAATAACTATCTGGGAATAAAAAAATCTGAGCAACATCTCTAAATCAGACTCAGAGATGCAGTGAGTTTAAGAACTAATCTATATTTCACAGGTTTCATGCAACAATCAAATACCACTGAGGTTGTTTAACAATTTTATACAAACTTACAGCTCTTGTTTATCTGTAGTGAACACCACAACCTTTTAAAACATTAGCCAAGATTAGAAAATAGAAAGAAATAAAGAAAGGGTAATGTTAAAATATTATTTTCATTATGGGTTACCAATGTAATTTAAATTGCCTACTCATGTAAGCAAATGTATGGGTAACACACAGAAATGAAAATTAAATGACAAAGTGGATGAGGAATGAGTTGAGGCTGTTTTCTGGTACAGCTTACAAGATACTTGCTAAGGTGGAAGCTTCAGCTGCAGCATCAGTTGTTGAAACATTTACCGAAACAAACTTCATCATGATGACACTAAATTTGGAAAAGAGGATGCAGAAGAAAGATGCTCAAGAATGAGCTTGTAAAAGCCCATTATTTTCTTTCTAGATCTGTTTCTTATACTGCACTCATCACTGTGGTATCTTGAGTGCTTTCCAGTAGTGCATTAAGCAACATGACAAACATCTGTCACATGTTTGTTCTCTCAGCCTCTCCCCAGAGACACAAGTGTGTGCAGTGCAGTGTCTTGTTTTAATTTTTTTAATTATTATAAATACATATGCACGTAACACATTATTAAACATTCATGCTAGGTCAGACAAACTTATCTTGCTCTTCAGATTAAAGCTGGTGAGCTCGGTGATGTTTCTGTAGGGGTTTCCCTTGGGAAAACAATTGGGAAGTTTCAGATCAGACAGATCCTAAACAATTGCAGATAGACAGTCTACCCATTCAAGAACCATGAACACATAAGTGGGAATCTCAGCTCAGTGTTGGCACCACCAGCATAAGATTATGCTATTTCATATAGGAAGAGAAGCATGTGTGTGTATTGGTAAATAACTACCTGTGCCACCTCAGAGAAAAATGTAGCTGATCTGCCTCATCCTAAGGAGACCTCCAACATTGATGTTGCTTCCTTTCTATGGCTGCCACTCCTTTATTGCTCCAGTAACTCTCAGGACAGTTAGGAAAAAGGACAGTTTCTCTAATGGAGAATGATTCAAGTCACATCGAGTGCCAAGAAGCTTAAGACTTCTCTTTGGGCCTCACTCAGACATAGATGCAGGGATCTGTGCAGCAACATCACATTGCAAAATCCACCAGTGCTTCTCTCCATACTCCGCAAGGGCTGGGCTGCTTCTGGTATCACACCAATACAATTCACATTTGGCACTGCTTTCAGCACTGAAGTCTTCCCCTCACTTCCTCACCCTTGTATCAGGCACAACAGTAGACCTATCTGTAATTCGTGCAATACTAAAGATTTCAGAACTCAATGTTCCAGCACTGAAACTTTTCTAGCTGCCTCTTGTTCTCCTCCCACAATATTTTCCTTGAAGCACTTAAGAAACATGATCTTCAGGCTGCCGGCCTTCCTCTAATATTACTGATCTCTTCACACAGATGTGAGCAGAACTGATCTGAGCATGGCAACCTACTGCCCTTCCCCATTGAAGGCTACAGGCTGCTTTCAAAGTCCACAAAAAAAAAAAAGAGGATTAGAGTTTACAAAGAACTCCCATCCATACTTTATTCCATATATCTGTTTCCCTAGCTTGCCTAGGGACTCAAATCTCAACAAAAGCCATCCAGCAAAACCAGACAAAATAGCAAAAAGTACCATGACAATGCAGAGTAACACCACCGATAAAGCTCTTCTGAAGTCCACCAAGAATACACCACATACCAAAATGCATTTTCATGGCATATAGAAGTCAGGCAGGATGTACAGTCACAGCTAATATGCAACCCAGTTCAGGAACCTAATTTGAGTAAGATGCTTAGGAGAGTTCTAAAATGATTCCTTGAAACGAGCCTCAAGAAAAGATTGTTCTTATAAACACTGATCTTTATGGCCGCAACACCGAGTCCTCCAAGAGTTTTAAGTGAGGCGGCAGCTAGGAGTCAAATAGTACTTTTGATTAATTGTTTTTCTTTCAAACTGAATTTAACACTGAGGGTGGGGGGATGTGTGTGAATCAAAGACCTTGAGTGTGTAAGCCAATCTAGTTTGCTTCAGTTTAACTGGTGTAGCTTATTATTCCATAGTAAGCAAGCTAAATGGAAATCAAGCCATGGATGCAAATGGCAACATAAGGACCTAATGCATTTTAAGTAATCTATCTTAAAAGGTCACTCACGTTAATTTTATGCATATATGAAGCTCCCAGATATCAAATAAACTTTCTTTGTTCCAGTACACTCTGCAACAAAAAGGATTTTAACTTTATTATAGCCATTTTATTTTCAACTTTCGTAGAAACTAGGAGTACACACAAAGCCCAGTGAAGTCTCTGCAAAGACTTGCATTGAACTCCACCGTGCTTTGGCTCAAACGTTTAATGATGTGTCAGGTTGGTATGAGGCAGCCAGCTACAGTCCCTGAAAGTCTTTACACCTGAGAATGTGCTTTTCAGCTGTCAGTACAGAACAATGCAGTCAGCAAGTCCTGCATCAACACAGCAGCTTTAGGACTGATAACTATGCAGAAATGCAATGAGCAGGCTAACATAAAAGGACTTTATTTTTCCTGTCAGATAAATAGAAGATATATGTTAAATATTTAGACATTTGGGGAAAGTGCAAACATTGAGAATTAAATCAAACTGTTGATGGTTTATTTTTTATTGAATCTTGTGGTCAAAATTGTTTTCATTTGCTATGAGAAAGAATCCATCATTTTTTCCAAAGCACCACCCAGAATCTGCCACTGGTGATGTTCTAACATCCCCAGTGCCTATACAAATAGAGAGGTCAGCTGAGATTTGTAAACTAGAGATCATAAGTTTTAAGGAATTTGTTTATTCAGCCTAAAGTCTCCAAATTGTGTACAATGCCAAAATTAAAAAGTCCTTTCACTGTACTGTGTCAGGTTACAATAAAAAGCTCTCCAAACATTCGGGACATTCAGATGAGAAAGCAAATTGTAATTCCATTTTAAGCAACCTATTTGTCAGCACATGCAGTTTAATTATAAATAAGTACCTCCAGCAGTTATAATGAGTAGGCAAAATCTAGATGATGTTTTTGTGCTTGTATAAACCTGCATTTAGAGTGAACTAAAAAGCTGCCTGAATTACACTGAAAAGTATTGGTTTAGTATGTGCATTTTTAGCTGTACTGTTCAAATACAAACATACATAAACCGTTTCCAAAGACTTTAGCAGATTGAGTGAATTAGGGGGATTTTCATGGGAATGACAAGAGGCAGATCTCTTCCTGATGAGAAGGCCACGACATACCAAGTTTCAAGTCCCTGTCCAAAGTATGGAGCATAGGAACCACACAAGAGAGATCACCAGACTCATCTTAGTATCAGCAAACCAACATATTTCTAACTCATCTCATTCTTGAGAAAGGGCTGAACTACATTTGTTGAAGTTTTCCAGAGTTATTCAGCATGCAACCAGCATGGGAAAAACACCACAAAACAAGAAAGTCAAATGATTAAAATATTATAAAGTTGCAAGAAGCTTACAGAAAGTTATAGTGATAAGTTCAAAACATTAATGGTATTTGACAAATAAGAGTATCTGATTGTTTAAAATAACCATATCTGAAAATATTTCCAAAATGCAGTATATCAGAACTTAAGACTATAAGAAATCTGATAACATTATGTCCTGCAAATACAATAAGCATTGAGATGACATATCTTTGCAGTATATTTGAACTTTGCTGCCTTCACTTACAGGTAGCTCAAAGATGGATAAAGCATTTCAACAGGCTAAATATTTTAAGTAAACTTTATGACTAATATTACATTTGTTTTTTTTATAAAGATATAGATGAATGTGCAACTGGAACCCATAACTGTAGAGCTGACCAAGTATGTGTCAATTTAAGAGGGTCCTTCAGCTGCCAGTGTCCTCCAGGCTATCAGAAACGAGGGGACCAGTGTGTTGGTAAGTGTTGCTCTCGAATTCTTTTCTTTTGTTATCTACAGTCGCAAACTTCATACTGATTGTAAAGTGTATAGGTATGTGCACTGTAAAATAGCTATACAACTTTGAAATGCAATGGAATAATCACTTTATCACAATAATTAATCACTAAAACATGGAACTAGAAACTATTTTAAGTATAATCAACAGTTAGAGTTGAACTTCACAAGATTAATTTTCCTAATACTTACCATTGTGTTTATTGTTTGTATTGGGGTACTGCCTAACATCCCAGATACAGTCATAAGTCTACTACAGCGGCAAACTAAAGCATATCTTTGCACTGACCTCAGTGAGACTTGACTCCAGATCTGTAGGACCAAGCACTACCTTCACACAAACCTAATCCCTGCTCTGCAAAGCCCCCTTGGACAGTCTGTTTCAGTACTCAGCTTTATGAGGATAAATGAGAGAGATGGAAACTCTGAATGCAGGTATATGGTCTTTGCAACTTATAAACCACTATGCTTTATTCTCTTTTGTGACAAAGTAAGATATTAGCACCCTTGACACCTACACAAGTATAGCATTAAATTCAAGTGCAGTGTCAAAGCTGCATCTTTCCTATTGCATCTTCATTTGAGGAGATTATGCAAAAATGCCATTACTCCGTTCCTTCAGTCCTCCTTTAGCCTTTATTTAACTCCTCTTTAATCATTATTTCAATGGATGAATTACTTTCATAGGCAATCCAGCCTTAAGTCTTAGGTTTGTCAGAGATAATAAAAACTATGAAATAAGAGAATCAAGTATATACATCATGAGGTGATATTCAAGACCGCCTCTTGTAAGACACAGACTGAACGACAGAACTTCAGGTTTTCTTCTTTTTCTTTACGTTAGGGATCCTGCATTTGAAAGTGTTTAAGACTTTTTTTTATTTTTAAGCTCTTTCAAAAAGCCTTGCTAAGGCTATAGGTAGTCACTGCCTAACACAGGGCTGCAGGAAGGAAACTGCTGACATTTTCAGTACACATCTAGACTAATTTAAATTTCTGGGCATGGCTCTTTCTTTAGGGTTCTGATCCAAGGGCCGTAGAAATCAACCCCAAAATTCTTACCTCTTTCCTAAGAGATGTGGATCAGGCCCTCAACTGTCAAATTGGTGCAAACACAGATAATCTGATTTTTCTCGGTTCTCTGTGCAAGAGTAGGATGAATAGTTTGGAATGTAGGTAGAGGAAAATAGGTCATTGATTTTTAAAATATCTGGGGTTTATTTAGCCTTTTTAGAGCAGGTAAAGTATATTACCGCTATGCAATAGCACTTTTTATGTCAAGACCCATGGTGCTAACTGAAAGTCTCATGGGACACGTTACAGCACTCAAAAGCAGCAGAATGATACACCCTTATATCTACTTGTTCATACATTTATGCATCTAAATCTATCCATGAAGATGCCTGGAAAGTGACATTTCCCTTCTATTTAGGTCAAAACCAAGAATAACACCTGTGTTACATATTACACACTGACCTAAATTATAAGTACATCCCTACGCTCAGTACTGTCAGCATTTCAGAATAAAGCCTGTCTTTGGGGATTTCATAACAACTTAGCCAGAAAATGTTCTTGGGGCCAGATCTTGATAGAGGTTCTCCATATGGGAGGAAATGTTTCTCAAATTTGAAAGAAATTTTTCCAGACTATTTTGGCTTCAAGGTAGAGGGAGAAAAGGACTCATTTCTAACAATTGATGGATTTTACTCTAAACGCACTAATCATTTCTGTCTTTTTTTGATTTTTTTTTTTTATTTGCTTGTTCACATATTGCAAAATTAGTCTTTTCTGAAACATGGGACCGCAGATAGAATGAATTGTTTGCTGGCATTACTTCCAACAGAAGATTTGGCCAAACTGATAAGATAACATTTAGCCCTTAGATCTGCATGGAGCTGATGTGCCTAATCCCACAAGAAAAACTCCCACTGAACTAGAGTCAGATCCTGGAAGCATTTATATGCATAAATGCAGTACCTAAGCAGCACAGCATTGCTCATAGGTCTGTATTGTATAATCAGATCTTTAAACAGCAATTTGTAAGAGCTTAGTCCCGTAAAAGTCAAGGATGGAAGAGATCTGCTGTGCCTCCTAATTTATTCCACTTCCAAATTTCTCTCTGCAGAAGAGTTACAGCAACAATTGCTACTGTACAGATAGCCAGGAATTTTCCAGCATAAGCCTTTTCATTCAGAACCATCCAAAACACTCCACTGCTGAGTTTAGCCCCAAACAGCAGCTGCAAATTCAGCAAAGAAAGGGTTAACTTGAAGAATATTTTTTCACTTGATATTAAAACAAACACTTTCCTCATTATAAAAAAAAAAGTCTTGGCCTCTTTTTAAACACATCTATGGTGGAAACAGCTGGAGGTAGGAAACTCAAGATCTGGCATGGATATGGGAAGTGCCTTTCTTTGTTCCAGTGAAAACTGGTCTTATTTGTCTGAAGCATTGAGCCTTTGAAATCTCACATTGTGTACACGTACAGAACATGGCATTGATTTCTTCACCAAGCTTAAGCAGGCTATAACTAAAGACGGCTGCTGCACATACCTGGATGATCAGCATTGTGGCATATTTTAAAGAGTGTTTTTCAGACAAAAACAGAGTCAGTATCTCCTCCAGAATGCAAGGAAATCTTTTCAAATGGAGAGGTAAAAGAATGGGCTGTCGCACATTTTGTATGGTTTGCAGGTGAAAACCCTGCTCCAATGCACATTAGGAATGCTGAAACTTGGAAAGGCAGCCTGCTCCACCTCAAAACCAGGGCTAATCTGCAAGGAGGGTCTGTGGAAAGTTAATACTGCCTGAGATAGCACCAACTTCAGCCCATCCAATCACCTTCCCTGGCACCAGAGCGCAGCCGGAAAGTGCTAGTGCTGCTGTATGGAAAGGTATGCAGGAGAGGCAGAGAGGGGACCGGGAGCAATGGCAACCCCTTGGGGGAGGAAGCCAGTTTCTGGGGGATCCCTGCAGAAGCACAGCCACCTGTTTGCTTTTCAGGCCCATTAATCTTCTATCCTTGCCGTTCCCCTGTACTTGCACAGAAAATTTGGACTCTTCCTAATGGAGCTGAAAAGATTTAGTACATCCTAAGAGTGCTGTGTGCAAATTTTTGGAAAAACAAGAGCTACAAGCCACATCACTGTGTTGATCGGCATTATGTCTGCTCATGAGAAAACTCGATTGAAAAAGCACAACAAAACATTCCCAGTTTTACCTACACAAAATAAACAAGACTAAGCAGTACTGTGGAACTGAATCAAAAATAAAGTTGGAATGTGTATTGATCTCAGTGGATGGAAGACAATCAGCATAAAACAGTTTTTTACAGTAGTCAAAGAAAAAGTTAAATAATATTGCCATTAATTATCCATGGAAGCAATACCTGGTTCACATAAGCTTTTATCCCTGCTTTTAATCAAGTGCAATTAACTTTACAGTTTCTTTGGACACAAGACAGCAACAGTGAACTGCTGTGATTCCATTTGAACTAATTTCTTTTTCGGTAACTCAGACATCGACGAATGCACCCTGCCTCCATATTGCCACCATCGATGCGTGAACACTCCCGGTTCCTATTATTGCCAGTGCAATGCCGGTTTCCAGTTAGCCTCCAACAACCACACCTGTGTAGGTAAGAACTTCTCTGCACATACTTACACACAAGCTCACTTGGTATAGAGACAAATACTATTGAAATTTACTAGTTGAAATTTAACTACCTTCATCCCAACTTAAAAGAAAGAAATACCAACCGGTAAGACATACCCATTGCTCTATTGAGACGCTCTCCTGCAAGTGATCTGAGAAGTACAAGAGGGTTATAGAGAAAATTGGAGCCCTACTGAAAAGCTGTTATTTTGTCAGCATAGCAGGTTTCTGAGGAGCATCTAGTTTGGCAAGTGGAACCCTGGAGTTTTATATACATTATTTAATCTTACATTTAATTATTCTTTCAGTTCTGGTGGATCACTTTGCATGATCATTGGCTTTCATGACATTATTCCCAGTTCATGCAACACAAAGGCTGGAACTGGAAACCAGGGAAAACAATACTGTACAACTGCAGTTAAGTGTAATTATCCTCAGCGTGTGGTAAATATAGTGAGAAAAGAAAGCATCGATAAATGTCACATATTAATATCTAGAAAATTATGTTAAAAATGAAAATGAGAGTCATTAGGGAAGAGTGACCCTTTAGAGGTGATCCTTCCTTTAGCAGTAAAACAGTTAGGGAAGCCTTGCAGTAAAACTTTAAGACTATTTGAAATCGTAAGTTCTGTTCTAGAAGAATTAGAGTAATAATAAAAAGGTAACTATGTCTGCTGAAGTGCAGAGAGACTGGCCATAAAAAAAAAAAAAATCAAGAGACTGGTGATGGAGATGGTCAGAACTTCTTTAGGGCTATAATTTTTATATAAAATCTCTATTACATTTTTAATATATAAAAATCAATCTGGGTTTTACAGCTTCTACCATTATTTCCAAGCATTGCCATATCTTATCAAGTATCCTGGCACACTGCCTAGCACTGAAGTGAGAGGAATTTCTTGTTTTTCACCAAATCATAGGGTAGAAAATTGCACATGGACACACCATAACCATGTGACAAGTTGTTACTTACTTGACCCTTTCCGTGGCTCAAATGCAAGGTGTATTCTTTTAGTTACACTTACAAATCCATGACAACTCCAAGTTTGCTAGGTGCTTCACCAAAACACCCCTTCTCTAACTTGCTGGCCTCCCAGCCTAAGAAGGCATACTCCCACCAGGAAAGGTGGGATAAAACTTAAGAAAAATCTGTAAATGCATGGTTGCTGCATCAAGACAGACTTTCACATCTGCAACAGTCATCTGGCAGAAGTGATACTTGACAGCTGTACCAATTACATTTGTGTTACAACTTCTGCATATATTGAAAGTGGGTCAATATTTCTTGGAAAGAAAACAAACAGAATTGTGGCTTTGGCTAGCTTATTTATTCCTTCTGGTAGCATTGTCATGATGTACATTCTTTGCACTGTTGCCTGAAATTAACTAAAAGGACGACGAAAAAAGCCTTTGTAATCAGTTTTCCCTTATTACCATTCATTTTCAGGACTAGGACGTTCATCATATAGATAATTAATTTCCTCCTTGTTGATTTTTGTGAATGCCTAATCTTAGTAGTCTTTGTCCGTTTTTAGTTGTATCTGTGTCTTGCTGACATTTATAAGCATTTGCAAAAGCCATGAACTCAAGATCTTTTCTTTCCCAAATGCAGCTCTCTACTAATACTTGTATCTGATAAACACAAATACGAATGGAAAACATGCGAGAAGGAGTACAGGGGAAAAATACCCTAAAAATCTACAGAGTGAATGACAGAGGCAGCAGTTAGTCAACAGCCTATGAAAAACAAGTGTTATAGATTCCAGAGGTGATGACAGTTACATAAACTTGCCATTAAAAATTGCTTCTCTTCTCATACCACAGTGTTCTCACATATGTTCTTAGGATGGGCACATCATGGAAAAAATCTAGCACAGAAACATACCTTCCCCCAATATGGTCGAGGCCTTACAGCATTGCAAAACTCTACTGGCCTCAAAGGCTCATGTTATAATTGTAATGGAATTTAAAAGAACAAATTTTAAGAGTAATAAATAGCTCAAATAAATCTTAACCACTGCATGCTGAGAGGTCTTATCAGTATGTGTTCCTTATATCAATTATTTATAGAGACTTGGCATTTCATACCTGAAAAAAGACTCTGGAATGTGGAGTTTAATAGCCACACTAAACATTTTTGGAAGAATTCATCACACATTAGAATAACTCTCATTCCTGGAAAAATACTTTTTTCCTACATGGAATGTAAAGCATAGATCTGACATTGTTCCAGTGACTGCAGTTCTATATTGATATAGTCAACTGAGCTTCTGCTAGCAATAGGCCCAGACTAAGGACTAATCCACTTAATCAGCCTAATTACCAGCTACACAAGATAAAGATCTGTAATTTTTCTTTCAGACATAAACGAATGTGATGCCAATAACCCGTGTGCACAACAGTGTTACAATATACTGGGTTCTTTCATCTGTCAGTGTAATCCAGGATTTGAGTTAAGCAGTGACAGAATCAACTGTGAAGGTAAGCAATTTCTTTTGTCTTGGAAGAACATTTTTTTTTTTCTTCCATTATTTTCCCAGAAGTCTTTCAGTGAACGAAGGGATAAAAATTCAAGAGGAACCACACTGTGGGTGCAGTTTGTAGCCAAACCCTTAAGACATTTACTTTTTTACATTGCAAATGTGGTTGCTAATACACACCTTAGCAGCTGTATTCAAGTACACGTAGGTATGGGTATCTCTTTAATAGTAAGTGCAAAACAGGACAGACATTACTACACTTTAGATCACAGCTGGGAAGAATAAGGCTTCCGAATACTTATTTCAGAAACTCAGTTGAATTGTGTGTGGTCTAATGCTGATGACCATCAAATGAATCAGAAAGGAATGCAAACTAAAAACAAGTGCAATTTAGTGTGCTGTTAGGCTCCTCTGAAAATAAAACCTCAAATTTGTGATTTTAAGGAAGCGACAATTGTGCTTTCAAGCCTGTGTATACAAACAGCATGTCTCCTGATGATTATACAATCAACACTATTTTCTCTGCCAGTGCCTCCACAGGGGTCCTCTAATCTCCTTTTGGACACATGATGATCTCACCCTTAAAGCCCATATCCTTTCTACCAGTCTTTGAGCCAAAGAGGTCTTTTTGGTTTACCACTGCCCTCCTAAACAAGCCAGCAGAGCTATTACAGATGCTCCCTCTCCAAGCTTCTTAAGCTAATCCTACTTGCAAGCAAACAGAACAGGGAGCAGCAAGTATGCAGGCTCCAAGGGCATCCCTGACAAAAATTAAGAACTAGGCTCAAGCCTCAGAGGCAGTAGGAGGGAGTTACGCTGTTTTCCAAGCCATTCCCTAGTTTTGATAGGTTTTCATTTATGATTCATTCAGAATTTAATTTCCAGTTAATGGCATATACGGTTAAATTCTGTTTCACACTACACTTCTCTATCAAGGGACTGATGGTTACACAAGGATAAAAAAAGCAAAAGAGAATGGTATGCACTGAGTATTACTTGAAGACAAAAAGTAGGCCTTACCCTCTTTCCCAAAGAGCTATTCCATTAAGGTAGGGCACAAATATAAAGGCAGTATTTTTGCCTTACTAACTAATCTCACATCTGTGTTTCTTGTGAAAGTAATCATAGTTTGGAATACTAAAACTATAAATTCTTTCAAGAGTTGTTTTCCCAAACCCATTCTGAAGTCTAACTTAGCTTTGCTTTCTCAAATCCAAAATTCTCATTTGGGAAGATTATTGATAAAACACAAGTAGAACTAGCCCTTCTGTTTGCAACTTTGAGGCATTAAGCAGTACAGTTCAGTTTTTTGACAACTTATCATTTTTAGACAGAATTAATTTTTTCCTGTTAGAACCAGCACTTAGCTATTCTGTTGAGTTCTGTAACAAGGTAGATGTTAAAAAACAATAAGTTTAAGCTCTTTTGCTCTCTGCAGACACTGATGAATGCAGAACCTCAAGTTACATATGTCAGTATCAGTGTGTCAATGAACCAGGAAAATTCTCATGTGTCTGCCCTGAAGGATACCAGGTAGTAGGAGGCAGAACATGTCAAGGTAAGTGCCCTCATCTTAGCAGTCTCCATAGTGCATTACTAACGCCACTGTTTCAGGCAAGACTAAGAATGCTTGCTATCCAAGTGTTTGTATTTCGTGACAGGATTACCATTACATTAGCAAAAGATATGTTGATAAAGCATTTGATGATTAATTGAATATCTTCTATTAACTCATACTTGAATCCTTCAGATTCTTAGGACAAAACTTCAGTTTTTACAACTCCCATGTAAAACTTGTCTTCGATGTTTAGGTAGTGAGTCTAAGTTTGAGACATTTATCTCTGAAGAAAATCAGGCTGCTTTTGTAGACACTAAACCTGGCTTTGTATCATATTTTATAGAGGTTCCTAAATCCAGCCACAGTAGAAGTGAAAGATATGTTTCTTCTGATAACAGGAGAAAAAAGTGCAAGACTTGAGCAGCTTAGATAAATTATGTTTAGCAAAGTAAATGTTCTGGTCAGGTGCCACCAAATGCCAGAGAGTTTTAAAGTTTGTGGTTTTTAACTCACTGGTGCTAAATGTGCATCTTATTAGAGAATATTGCAGAAGAACATATTAAGTGCAACAACCACTGCTTATGTAATCCAGAAACCAATTTAACAGTCATTTTTAGAAATAAACAGGTATGCTAATTATAGGCAGAAGGGACAAAGTAGTAATTCAAATTTTGTTACTCGTATTTTTATTAATTTCAGATTCATTTCTTTCCCTTCCTAAGAACAGCAGCTGATACTGAACATTGTGGGGTCATTAGTTTGGCCATCTAAAAATCTGTTTATGCCTTCTGAGAGATTACATTTGAATAAACCCTTTCTGTGACTGTTAATTTCGGGAGACCATGTAAGTAGACAGTAATGGAGTTCTGGCACTGACAGGATAATAGAGCATTAATACCACACAAGTCTAGCTGTCCCCACCTCCATTTAGGGTTATCTTCCCAGGGGGAAAAAAAGAAAGCTCTACTTCGCACAATAAACAAAATTTTCATTATTCCTTTCAAAGCTATTTCAGTTAAAATATAACCATTAACTAAGCATTTTCATTAGACCATGAAACTCAGGCAATTAAAAGTGACAACCTGCAAAAGGCAGGAAATCACAGTTCTGCCTCAAAACCTTTTTCTTCTGTCTACTAGATATCTTCTGGTATAAAATCATTCTTTGCTAATTAGAAACTTCACAGTATTTCTACAGTTGCATTACATACGATTCATGTGTTTTAGTCAACTAAAAAAATCCCCAAACTTCATTAACACAATTCATTTATTAACAAATTTATTCAATTTCTGCATAGAGAAACCCTTTATAGACAGGCCCCAGAAAAGCAGGTAAAGAGAGACCTGTTTGGTTTCATCAGACAAGCAGGTGGCTTCTTGTTGTTGTTGAGGACATTGTGTTTCTTTTTGGAGCAAACTCATTTCCATCTGCTTTGACAGAGTCCTTTTTCTTTCCTCCTAGATATAAATGAATGTGAGACTACTAACGAATGCAGAGAGGATGAAATTTGCTGGAATTACCACGGAGGATTTCGCTGTTACCCAAGAAATCCTTGTCAAGAGCCTTATGTTCTTACATCTGAGAAGTAAGAGGAAAATTAGTCTTTTTTTTTTTTTGGCTCATCCTCAACAGGCAGCATGATCAAATACAACTGAAAGCAGTACCATTTGTTTGCAACTATCACAGTTTCATCCCTTTTTTTTTTTTTTCTTTTCAGCCGCTGCGTCTGCCCTGTTTCAAATGCCATTTGCCGAGAGCTGCCTTACTCTGTTGTGTACAAATACATGAGCATCCGTTCAGACAGAACAGTACCATCAGACATCTTCCAGATTCAGGCAACCACTATTTACCCTAATACTATTAACACATTCCGGATCAAATCTGGAAATGAAAATGGAGAATTTTACCTGAGAGTGAGTATTGGTGGGAGTTGGACCCTGAGCAGGGCATAAAAGCCACTGGTGCTACCAACATGTTATAGTGCCTTGCCATTTTGACAAATCCATCAAATGTCCCCGTAAGAGTATCACAGCATCCCAAAGTTTATCAACTTTTTGATACTTCCTTATTAAATGTGCTTGGTTTCCAAATTTTGAAAAGCCTTTTACTTTCCTACCTGAAAACTCTAAACTGAGAATCAAACTGTTTCTTTCAAATGAGTACAACACTAGTAGCAATAATGAATATTTAGCAGTCCTGTGATACCAGTGTCAGACACAAATGAAAAATCTATGCTTTTCACTCTCTCTATCAACACCCCATGTATATGTATATTTAGGAGGGGATTATAGAAAGATTCCTTGTACAATTACTTTCATTAAGTTTCCCATTTTTGTGAAAAAGAATAATAGCTTGGGATGGGGCACTGATTTCTACAGTGCTAAGTCCAGGCCACCTTGCAAAGGTTTTGTGTCAAGACATCCTTAAACCTTTATTTTCTCAAAGTGCTGCAACTATTTTGGAAAACCACAACAGTTCAAATGACTTACAATAGCAGTATTTCCTGTTCGCGTAATGCATTCAAGTAGATACACATGAATGAAAGTGACTATAACATCTGCTTTTTAAGATTTTTTTGGAAGAAATCTGATTTTCTTGGACGCTTGTAATATTTACAAATTCCTGGGAAATCCTTTTTGCTTCATATGTGGGTTTACACTCAGTAAAACAGCATGAGCACAAAAAAATTAAATCATAAATATATTAATTGGAAGGTTTTCATTTTTGTTTATTTTTCTTCGAATCTTAAGATCAGGGCATTTTGAAAATAAATCCAGAAAGTGTACTAAGATATGGCACTGTTTATTTACACGATGTTTCCCCAAGATGGGAATGAGGAAGTACTCATCTGCATCTCACTTCTTCTGGTATAGCCTATAATCCAGTGCTTTTCCCTGGATTTATTACACATCAAAACCCCATAGCTACCCCCAAACTGAAAACAGTTAATTTGCTTAAAGAACAGGACACTCCAACTCTAGCTTGGGGTTAGACCCCAATCTAGCCTTCAGACTGACTTTTCTTTAGACTAACAAATCCAATCTTCCGTTGCCACCCAACAAGGAATTGCAGGCCTTAAGTAAGGAAGCGTGTGTTTATTCCTGCCAAGGGACTGTGGTAAACAAAGGCTTACTTAGAAGTTATTCCTATTGTGGTAGCAAAAGTCTGAGCTGGGCCTCAGATACAGCACATGGATTGGATTCATCTGTATACCCTACTCCTTAGACACGGTGAGAGAATATTTGTAGTAGATGGAGTTTACCCTTTTATTATCATCTGTAAATTACAAAGCTTTTTAGCAAACCAGCAGCATGCCACAGACAAGGGCTGTCAGCATTCCCCGGCAGCATGATCCCAGACTGGGAAAAGAGCTTCAGAGCAGTACAAGACCGGGATGGCAATAGGCACGTCAGCTGCAAAAGTTCCCAGTGTTTACAAGGGGAGCACGACTTCTTCTCAAGTGTGAGCCATGAGACAGATTTAGAGTTTCCACTGAACAAGCTACATCACTGCTAAAGACATTAGGTCTCTTGTTTTACTTATTCTTCATACATTTTAAAAGCTGATAGATGGGGATAAAAAACAAAGACCATCCTGGGATAGATTACCACTTTTCACATCCTTTAGGAGAGTCAGCATAACCAGGAACAGATTTTGCAGTGCAGTTTATTCCTCTGAGCCTTAGTCAGGTAAAGTTTTCCCTGCAGCAAAGCCAGGTGTGAGATTAGTCATGGCCATTGAAAAATGTTAAAAGAATACTTGCATTGTATATCTGTGTGCTGAGACAGAGCATTTTTACAGCATAGTAACACGCAAGCACTCTCTTGACACAAACTAGGGAATCGTTTCAGATTTGACTGAATTAAACTTTTTTTGTTGTTCTTTCAGCAAACAAGCGCCGTAAGTGCAATGCTTGTACTGGTGAAATCACTATCAGGACCAAGAGAACACATTGTGGATCTGGAGATGCTAACAGTCAACAGCTTGAATTATCGTACAAGCTCGGTGTTAAGATTAACAATAATAGTGGGACCTTATGCATTTTAGTGGTTTTCAATAACCCTTCACTGGCACTTAAAGCAGCCAAAGAGTATTATCTTAAAGAAAGCACTTACTATTTTATTTATAGATTTTGCTCTCTTTTTTTTTTTAAGATTTGTTTAGTAAGTTGGTATCTTTAATCCACACATTACACCTGTAATTCAAAATTAGTAGATGTGTTCCATAGTATAACATGGGCATTGTCACTTTCTGTATAAAGATTTAAATCTTTTTTATTACCTTTCTTGGACTAGTTACATACTACGCTTTTGTACAAGAACTGTATGTTCATACTATCTTGTAAAACTTCACACACCCTTCCTAGCCAAATAGGTCATGCAATTAAAAGGTGATCTTCTGTGTTCTTTTTATTTTAAATTCTAATGCAGCTACACCGACAATCTCAAAAAGAAAAAATTATATAGGATGAATGATACACAAAGTAACGGTTATCTGATAAGCTAAAATATATTTCTTCTTTTTAACAACTTTGTAACAAAAGATAACAGTCAATAAAAATCTATTTCTGTAGACATTTATGTGCTATCATTTGGTTTTTCTAATCTGGGTTGGAAGTAAAGTTACATCATGAGAAGTGTTTTGCATTAGGTTTTTATATGCAGATTGCGTTAACCATACCACGGAATAACATTCTGCTCTCTCCAAGAAAAATAAACCATAAGAAGAAAATTTCTCTAACAATGAGAAACTCCAAATGGAGAATCGCCACACAGGGTACACGTGTCCATGCTTTCTCCCAAGAACACTGTTGGTAGTTACCGGTTAGATACATACAGCATTTTCAGACAGAAGTTAACATGCTATTTTTCCAGCAATACTATGTTGTACACTAAGAATTGAGTGCATTTGCTTATTAAGTTATATTTTCAGGCACTCAGTCCTATTTCTGCTCTTACAACTCAGATGTACCATGTACAGTGTTCATAAAATCTTTCTAATTCAAGAACTAATAACATCTTTTGTAATATGTAAAATCTTATTTCTTGTTTAAAATGTAGTAGTTAATCCTCTGATGTACAAAATTTTTAATAAAGCTCTCTTACCATATTGTATTTAGTCTTTTTTGAGGTAGTTCATTGGCTGCATTAGGGGGCTGAATTGTCAGCTACTGTGGGAGTCAAAGCCCCACTGAGTGACCCAGATCTCAGTCTACATAGAAGACTAAAAATACAATTCCTTTGTAGAAAGACAAACTTATTACCTGCTGAGTTTTAGTTTTACTGAAATTTTAAAAAGGAAAAATATACCAACATACACACATTGCTAGATAGTTGCTAATTTGCAGGAAGGAGCCTGTTTTCTACTTAAAATTAATTTTCTATAGAAAATATGTGAATAGTGCATACATTATACACAGAAAAAATCCTCTTGTGGTGCAGACCAACAGATTCACATTTTTTCATGTCAATCACCCTCAGTGACTGCTTTCAAGGAATGTGCCGAAAGCAGCAACGAGCATGGCCGGAGAACTTGGCATCCAGAGGTCCTGCACAGCAAGACGGCAAAAATTTGCTCCAGAATATAACTTTGCGCAGGCCACAACCGCGCTGGTTTAGGGTGACACATCCCCCACACTCAGACAAATTGCAGAGCAGGACCCCATTACCCAATGATCATTCCTTCAGGCTGTCATTTGTGGCTTTAAACAAATACTTCAGCTGCCAAAAAGGTCAGAGCATATGGTTGTGGCATAGGCCAAAAAAATAGTGCAGGCACTGGGTCACATTTGCTTGCCCTGGGGCCCCAGAGCTGTGGGATAAGACCCCAGGTAGCCTTCATCCCTCTCTGCAGAGAAGAGCTCACCAATACAAACCCAGCTGCTTTGCAGAGGGATTTAATTGGTGTCTTCCATGGTGAAAACCCTCTGATATATAGAGTTTGGCTTGCAGGAAGCTCCTTCCTCTCCCCAGAGGAATTCCTCCCCATTCATCATCACTACAAATCCTCTTGGTTTGAAAGGCAACTCCTCACCCCACACAAGTACTGAGCACAACGCCTCTAACCTCCTCCTTCTCCCTGCAATTCTTGCGGCAAGCAGCATGCTCTCACCTCCGTACTTAGTTTGTCAACTAACAATTTCCCTCTATGTAGTCTGCCCTCAGAAACTAGCTGTGCTGGCCTCCAAGTATCCCACTCTGTCCCCAACATTGGCACTGTTCTTGTACACTGACTTTTAGCTTCCCAAGTTGTGTGATTCAGCATCGCCCATTCCAAGAAACAATCAATTTTGTTGTTGTTTCTAGGTTTAAAATGGGCAGTTTCCTCACATCTGGTAGAGCAGTACTTGAGAAGTGGCCCAGAGGAGGCTGAAGTGGCTTTGCCTCCTTCAGTCCTGAGACTTGCAAGGCACCAGGCTGGTCACTGCTGCAAATCAGACAGACACAAATCATCCCCAGGCTGCCAGGCTCTGCCCCAAGGAGTCACTCTATCTTCACATTCTGCCAAAATAAACAGGGTGCTCATTTGCACCAGTTTTATCACCAGCACTTTTAATCCTTTTAAATCTTGGCTTATCAGACACTGATCCAAAACTGATCATTATATAGATCATATCGAAAAATATATAGTCATCAAATGGCACAAACAGCAGAGGCAGTTGTAGCTTGTCCATGTGCCCAGGCCATACTCAGCCCGCTTGTTCCTCCACATCCCATCATGCTCATAGACTTGGCTTAAACCATTTTATTTTTGCACAAGCTGTCCTGCCAACCACCCTCCTCCCCATCTGTTTGCAATGTTCAGGTCTATACGAGACCACTTACAGCCCAAACTAGCCAAGTCAGAGGTTATCACACATCGCTCAGGAGCACAGATCCAGATACTTGCCATTATATAGCTACGAGTTGGTTGAGACCTAAACGCAGTCACTGGGTGTGGGCACCACTCTCTACACACAACGTTAATCACAGCACTTTTATGGAAGCAAGGAGCTGAGATAACAGCAGCCCCTCCAAACCAAAACACGAGCAGGCAAGCAAAGCAAGCCAGGGACTACAGCAGGACTGTGCAGAAATTGTAAGGGGGTGGTTGCTATTGTTTTGGATAGGGGTGCGGTACACGATTGAGCATGAGAGTGTCCGAAATAAGTCCTTAATCACAGTGAGAAGATGGTTCAGAGCCTGAACAAGGAGAGCTCTCGTATGCAACGTTGTGCCAGAAAGCCTGTGTGTTGTTAGGAGGGAAACCCAAAGGTTCATCCGATTCTCCAGGAAAGCAGGTCTTCATGTTTCTTGCAGAGGATAAGGAGCTGCAGCAAACACGCAACAAGAGTCTAAATAGCTACTTGGGTTAAAAGGGACCCTGAAATCCCAAGAAATTATGAGAGTAAAGTTTTTACTCAGCCTTCGCTATATCCTACCAGCATGACCATTTTCAATAACATGCCCCAAGAAAGATTCTCATATAAATCTCTGTCACTGTTGTAGAAGAATCTAAATCAGGATCACATGCAAAGTTTAATATCTTCTCAGAAATAGAAAACAGGGAGATAAAAGTAAAAGAAAATAGGACTGAGTAAACAGAACTTAAGGAAATAGAAACGCAAGTTCATTCACTTCCCCGAGACCACCTGAACACAGTGCAGTGGGATTATTTTGTTTGGAAGGCTCACAAATTCAAGTTTATTGTTGAATCCCGTTTCCATGACTGCAAAGAGTTGCTTATGTTTTGAATGATCATCCATGTTTCTAACTTTATAACTTGCCTATTAAAATATAGAACAGCTGCTGCCCCAGTCAGCTGTTCAGCATATGGAGCCCACCAGGGACAAAGCCCACTGTTAACACCGAGAATTATTTTTAACGCCCTCACATTTCTAAACCTCACCATCATCTCAGCAAAATGGCACGTTTCCACACTTCCCAGCTGGGGGAACACCTGCATAATGCAAAACTGAACTGTGCTGCATCTGGTACAAAAACCAATTTCATTTCATCTGGCCAGAAGAAAAAGTTACCAGCCCCAGTGAACAGAAACAGGGCAAAAAGTCAACTGTGTTTTATATCTGGGGAAAGGCAGATGTCTAGTTAAGATGTTTATACAGCAAACATAGCTGTATATATTAGGAGGAAAGAGAGCTGTTTAATAAAATGGAGTTGGCTTATAGTTGCCAAAGCAAATTTGAAGGACAGTGCAACAGCTTTTGTCATTTCTGCATGGGAAAAAATACAGTCTGATTTTATATTGATACAGATTAAAAAATTACTTGTTCCATGTACGTGATCTCAAAGTTAACTCTTAAAGCCTCCCATTTATTGTGTATATGTGCCTAGCACAAAAAGCACTGTGTCACACCAATACAACAGAGTAGTATTGAAGGCTTCCCCCAATTTATTCTCTGGCATCTCAGAAAACACTTTTGATACTAACATCAAGGGCTGTGTGGCCAAGACACACAGCAATGCTTCCTGCAGATCAAAATACTGGACTTTGGTGAGCTCCAGGTTTTGTTTGTAAACAGTCACACTGCGTCTGTCACATGCTGTTACTGCTCTCACTTGAGAGAGAAATTATTTCACTTTCTGATCCACAATCTCAACAGTCCCAGAAGGGACATCAGCACTCAGCATCTCTGCTCGCTCCCAGAAATGCATCCGCATAATATTTTTGTAGTTTTAATATTTTTGTAATTTCTACAAAACAATATAGTACATATATATATTTAAACAGAAGAAGCATTCCCACTAAAACGCTTCAGATCAGACCTTTGAAAGTGCAAGGTTCAGCTCTCAGCTAAGCACTTCAGCAGCTCCTGCCCTACAAACACACACTCTGGTGCACTTTATTGCATAGCTGTAATGAAACATTCATTCGCCCCCCACCCCCAAATACACCCCCTAAAGCCTCTGCAGTTCTGGTCTACAAAAACTCCCTATGCAAAGGCATGCGCCATGCCCATCCATACACACAAACAAGAATACAGAAAGGCTTTCAAATTTAGCAGCCTGCCAGCTGGGTTAACATTAAAAAAAACACAAACGTATTTATGCTGTTAAACTCTGAAACCACAATCATGAAAGTTACACAGACACTTCAAGGTCTAAATCCTGCCAATGCCACTCCAGAAAGAAACATCTGAACATGTGACCACCTCCTCCTGAGGGTCATATTTTCTTCTTGCACTTTGAATGTTTATTGGGTATCTATGTGCAATATATAGGAATGTTTCCTATACAGAATATATACAACAAACACCCAAGTGGGAAGTCAAAAGAGCAAAATTCTTGCAGGCGGCATGGAAACTAGGAAAACAAACAGATTTTGGAAGCTCAGAGTAAGGGCTGCAGAGGGGAAGCCAACATACCAAAACAGCAGGGTAAAAGGCGTTATTAAAATCAGTAAGTCATCTTCTGAGAAGCTGATGTTGTATATGAATGAGGAAAATAGAAGTGCTCTGAGATCTGGAAGGTCACATGTAAAAAACAAACAAGGCAGGCCAAAGGAGCAACTTGCAAACACCCAGAGTAGCAAATGAAGCCTCTTCTAATCACAG